ATGTTTAGGGTTAGGGTTATGGTCCGTTCTGCATTAGGGTTAGTGTTAGTGTTTTAGGGTTTGCCCTGCATTACCATTAGGTTTAGGGTTAGGGTTAAGGTTAGGGTTGTTAGGGTTCGAGTTGGATGATCCCCAGCTCTCCCAATGAAGAAGAACCGCGGCCTCATTTCAGTCCTAAAGGGCCAATACCGGGAGGCTGTCACCAGCACCTCACATCTGGAAACAGGTCCTTTCCTTAAGAGTGCTCTGAGTGGCCCGTCTCTGGGTCTCCTGTAAGGGACAGGGTAGAGGGATGGGCGATGGTGGAACATGGCATAGAGGGGATTAATGGTGATGGGGAAAAAAATAAAGAAAATAAAGAAGGAAAAAGAATGTGGCTGTAGACAAGTCACACTTGCCTTGCTTAACCGTGCGTGCGAGGGGGCATTTGGCCAGGGTAGAACAGCCTAGCCCCCCTTCACTTCTGCCATTTGTCTCCCTACAGATCCTTCTGGCTGGTGGACGGGCCGGCTCCGAGGCAAGCAGGGCCTGTTCCCCAACAACTACGTGACCAAGATCTGAGTTGCACAGAGACTGGCGCACGGGCGAAGGAGCTCCAGGCACAGACGGGGAGGGGACATTTGGGGCTCTCCTTCTGATCTATAACGAGCAACTGCTTCGCCATGGCCTGGAGTTATTCTGGCACCTTCCCCAGGACATTGAAAGGCTGCGCTGGGGAAAGGGTCATCTCTCTATAAATGATCCTACAAGATAGCCTATTCATGAGAACCCAGGAGGGCAAAACAACCACCCACTAAGATTTATTTATTCTATTTAAACCTGGTGAGAGGACAGGCGGGGTCCACTCAGACCTTGTTGGCTCTATCAGAACAGCACCCCGCTCGCTCACCAGGCCCAGGGAATGGCTGTGGGCGGCCGCTGACAAGTGCCTTTAGTTAAAGAGCACATTTCTCTCATCCCTCTTTTCCTTACCTGACACACATTCCCTCTGCCCCCTCCCCTCAGGGAGGACCCCTCTCTGCAGGCGTGAGTGGACACTTCGGGTGCAAATGCTAGGGGCGGGCATGGCCTGCTGAGCCCATGGGAGCAGAGGGGTGCTGGTTTACACTTTCTAGGACCATCGGGCTGCGGGGCTGAACGGGGCTGGGGGCTGGGCTGTCGGCCTTGCTTTTCTGGGTCTTCAGTGGGAATGTGGCTGGCCCATGTTGGTTTTGTGTTTAATGCTGTACCTATTACTAGAAGGGTCTTTTTTTTTTTTTTCAAGCTGTACATTTATAAAAACAGATCATATACTGTATATATAAAAAAACTCAAGATGGTAGAAACATGTATGAATGTACTAAGTAGTATTCCACTGTACTTATTCATAAGGTAGGTTTTATTACAAAACTCGCACCAGGTACTTACAGATGTGCACTACTCCTTCCAACTATAGAATCAGTGTTACTGCTTTCTAGCTCCGCCCCCGCAAGCCCCTCCCAACCCTTACCCTACAGGTGATTTTCCCCTGCCCCCCTCTGTGGACCACCCTTACCTCCTAATAAAGGAATCAGTGAACCCCCTTGTTCTTTCTCAACATTTATTATGGGTTGTGTCCATATCCCCCAAAAAAGATATTTTGAAGATATATTAATCCCCAGTACCTCCGTATATGACCTTATTTGGAAATAGGTTCTTTACAGAGGTAATCAAGTTAAAATGAAGCCATTAGGAAGCACCTTAATCCAATACACCTGGCATCCTGATAAAAGGAAAATTTAGACTCAGATTGGCACATTGAGAGGGAAGATGATGTGGTGTCAGCCAGCTACAAGCCGAGGAGAGGGGTCTGGAACAGGTCTTCCCTCAGAAGACCAGCACCTGGGTCTCAAGACTTCAGCCTCCACAATTGTAAGACCATAAATCCGTCGCTAAGCCACCCAGGCCATTGTACTTTGCTAAGGAAGCCCTAGCTAACACATTCAGTGCTACTGCAGTAACAGTGAAAAGTTGGGGGAAATGGCATGTGCATAATAAGGAAAAGGTTCTAGGGGAGACTCACCTCTCTACCTCCACTCCCAGTTGCCACAGTCATTCTTTCTTTTTTCTTTTCTTAAGTACAATTCCCATTTCTTTTTTTCCCAGAGAACTTTTCTTCAGCGCTTAGGACTTACTTAGCTCCTTACATGAGCTTTGGTGGAGGTTGTGGGGCAGCACCCACCATGTAGATCAGGGTGGGGGTGGGGGTCCTTCTGGGCTCACAGCTCACACTGTAGGGTAGTTTCACATACAGCTTGGGAAGCACAGAGGCATGGACTACACTGGCTTCAGAAATGTCCCTAAAGGCTGTGGCCTCTACTATGTTTTGATGAACTTCTTAATGGCCTTGTCCTTGGGCCTGTATCAGGCGCTGTTGGTGCAACCAATAGGTTGCACATGGTCGCAGCTTGTTTTGGCACAACCATTGCTCCTTCTTTTCTTGGTCATCTTGGAAGTGAGGACCCAGCCAGTTCTCTTATACATCGTGAAATCCCTACACTCAGAGCAGAAGACTCCTTAATTGACGAACCCAAGAACAGCGACCCACTTTATTCAATTTTAGCATTTTCGCTGAAATCTAGGGCAAAAAGGCACTTCTCAAGTTTATCAGTGCACCAGGTGATCCTGGGATTATTCTGCCACAGTCATTCGTAAGCTATTGGGAAAGTAGGGTTTGACCAGCACACACCTTTTTGTCATTTCAGGATCCCCAAGTCCTGCGGGGGAAAATTATCAGGGGTTACATATAAAGAGCAAAATGTACCTGAATTCGGTACAAAGTAAACCACTGAATTCTGTGTTTTATCAAGAACAGGGAGCAAACCCTTTTCAGTAACAATACCATAACATTTAAAGTATATTTCATTACCTTTTAAGAGCGGAAAATAAAGCCATAATGTGATGACATGAGGAAAGGTGATCCTATTGACACTATAATGCATGTGTGTATGTGTGTGTGTGTGTGTATTGATTTCAGAGAGGAAGGGATGGCCTCGTCTAAAATCTCCACTTTGCAAATGAGCAGGCTCAGCACCGTTCACTACTGTGCCCAAGATCACATAGCTCTGAAGTAGAGATACCGTCATTTGAACCCTGATCTGACCCCAAGGCCCACACTTTTAATCTTAAGTCTTCAACAAAGAGTTTGACAGTCTAATTTGTCAACCTTTAAGCATCTAATATCTTTCTCTCAAAAATCAAAAACCTAAAAAGAAAAACTCCCAAAAAAGGAATCAACAGCTATAAATCTGTAACTCCTTTGATAGGCAAGAGCTCTATCTAACACACCTTTGAATACCCAGAGTCCATCCCAGACCAGCAACCTCCTTAAAATCATAGCCACTCACGTTCACGCGCCTCCAGACGCTGTGCTCCAGGCCTGACACACTTTAGCACATCTGAGGTTGACACCCTTACCCCAGTGCCCACAGGCCACACAGCTCCCAGGCTCAGGCCCAACAACCCATCTGGTTACCTCATCATGTTTCCTAACTCCAGTGTTGTTATATTACAACTCCTACCTTTACAGCTGACTGCACATTTATAACACCTGAGTTTGGGTGCCTGCTGTGGCACATAAGGAAGTATCTTAAAGGTCTTTTCATGATATCCAAAAGTAGGAATTTCCTGAGTCAGAGTATTTAATTAACTAAGCGAAGTATGTCATAAAGAAGCTATAAAATGTCTTTGGAGTATGCCTACAAAACCCATCCTTTCCTGATGAGAAGTCGGAGCCAGGAAAGCCCCTTTTTGTGGTCTCACTTAGTTACCATTCACACTTAGTCATCTGTCAGTGTCTGAGGCTGCCATGGGAACAAGCCCCACTATCTCAACAAGAGGATTTATAAAACTTTACACTAGTGTCTCTATCCAAATGCTTTAGCTAGTCAGGAGGGCTGCTGGCCTGCCCAGGGGAAGGGGTGAGAAGCCAGCCCTGGCCGGAGCGGGTTCTCCTCGGGGGCAGTCAGAGCCAGTCACAGAACCAGGCACCTGTGGGCTTCGCTGTCATGTAGAAGGCGGCTTGTAGCCACATCCAGGTTCCAAAACACTGAGTGAAATGCGTTTAGTTACTGAAGCACCTCAGGATCTTTAAGAATCTCACATGCATTTGTGATGTTTCCCAAATGTATGACTAACTCCTTTTTCTCAAAAGTCCAATTAACATCTTGTTGAACTAATAGTTTGGGAAGTTGTTGCTATAAGAGACACATTTATTTTAGGAGGGTTTTGTTTTTGTTTTGTTTTTTGTTGTTTTATTTTTTGTTTTTTAAATACATGAGAGAAACATCGACCAGCTGCCTCCTGCACACCTCCCACTGGGGATGTGCCCGCAACCCAGGCACATGCCCTTGACCGGAATCGAACCTGGGACCCCTCAGTCCGCAGGCCGACGCTCTATCCACTGAGGCAAACCGGTTTCGGCCAGGGTTTTGTTTTTTAAGTTAGTGGTTGGAAACTGAGAATGCATTCTCCCTTAGAAAACAATGTTGAATGTGATCACATGCCTGCTGGGGAAAAAAAAGTAACCCATAATGTAGTTGAAACAGCACAACAGGAAACTGCATCCCAGGTTTCTACTTTAACAGGATGTCACAGGCCCCTTTGGGCTGCTATTCCCAGTCTCAGTGAGCCTGTGAGATTGAGACCCATTGTGATGGTTACTGTGGTAGCCACAGTGCCAGTGGGCCAGGTATTCTATATGGGAATTAAGAGAATAATTGAGTAGGTTCTAGAAAGGGAATAGCCATGATTAGCCTCTCCTTTTAAATTTTCATAATGAATCTTTTCATATTCAGGAAGTTTAGGAATCAGTAGGCAATCACTAAAGCCAAATTCTAGATTTTCCATTTGAGAAAAATGGTAGGAAGGTCGTTCCCAAAGCTATGAAGGCAATAATTTATATGCATATAGCTCAAAGAGAAATTAGTCAAAGCAAGTATCTACTGACTTATTCAGTATAGAATGCACAAATGCACACAGGATACCTTAAGAAAAATCAATAGCTTTATTTTTCCTCAATATATAGTTAGAAAATAGGTCTGAGAAGAGGTTTCATGGAGTAGACCAAAGAATTACATACAAAGTCACGAGTTCCAAATGAGCAAGAGAAAGGGCCAGACGGAGCGCCTTCCCGAGCACCGGGGCCTAGGACTGCCCCATCAGAGGGCGGGCGAGCTCTTTAATGGCTTTTGAGTTCAGCTGAGGAATCGTGCTGATCTTCAGGAGTTTGCTGCTTGCATACTTATTCTTGATGGCCTGCAGAAGTCATCTGTGGTTAAGGATACATCAGGACCCCCTTCCGTCCCCTGACACTTTGTCCCTAGTCTAATTTACAAGTACTGAAGGGCCAGACCCACAATCTCAGGTGGTACGGTGATGCCAGCAAGGGCTCTGAGGCCACACTGTGTTGTGCCTGACAACTTCCTTCCATGCCAAGTAATGGAGCAGGCCCAGCTGGTAGTACCAAATGACTTCCAGCTCAAGGCGCAGGCTCCCTGTCAGAGGGGTGGGAGTGGAAGCTGTGCTTATTGTACCTAAGTACCACCAGGATATAACAGGATGGCCACTCCTGGCAGCAATACCTGGCAATAAACATTGAGGCGATTGTGCTTAGCAGAGCCCAGACAACACCCTCAGGACTTAAACATTATGCTTCCACTGTGTGCTATCGTGCTGAAGCTACACGTAAGAAAGCAAACCCGGGTGTGAGGTACAAATGCCTCATTCTCTGTGAAGCTGACATTCTGTGTCATACAAGCACAGGGCAGTGCCCAATCTCCCCGGGCTCCTTCTCCGGGGGCGGGGGGTGGGGGGGGCACACGGGATGCTTCCCAAATGGGCTTCTTGCCCCTCCTTCACATGCTCGCTAGGCAGGTGCCTTTCATCATTGTCCCAAAGGATCCTGGACAAAGGCCCTGAGCAACATCACCCATATACCCAAGCCTTCCTTTGGGCCATCTGAGGTGGGCCCCTGCTGTTCCGGCCACCCGCCGACCAGCGCTCCCTGCTGGCTGAGCCCACCGGGCGCTGGGACAGGCGTGGATATGGGCGATGGGACAGGCGTGGATACGTCTGTTAAACAGCTGGCTGCCTGGATGGCTAATCTGGGCCTGGGCATCATTGGCCAGTTTTAACCCTTTGCACGCCATCAGCGTCTATAGACCTTCCCCACACACCAAGAGCTTCTGTAGCCACAAACCTCGCATATCAACTCTGGTCGCCCAATTTTAAAATCAGACTTGTTAGTGACATCTCTAGGTTTGTAAAAAAAATTATGTTAACTTAAATTCGTAAATATTCCAGTGCATATGGAATGGGGATGGTTTCCATTTTGGACGCATGGCAGTCCAAAACTGCTTTCAGCATTTATCAGTATGCTCCATCCACTGTGTACTAGAAAAATATAGAGCTTGTGCTAAAACAAACTCTCACACATATGCCAATATATTTACATGAAAACACAAAGAGATACACATACCCTCATATGCAAAGTCCACGGTCAAATACCTTTCACAGCTTAGCAAGGAGTACTTACGATGAACTTCGTCAGGTTTTCGTTTACTCTCACTACGTTTTTGGCCATGTGCTGCATGACTTCCAACACCTCGTTCTCCGTGTATCCAGTGTAATACTGCTGCTTTAAGTTCTGGAACACAACGCAAGAGAGGGGCACGATAAAGCCTCCACTTCTTCAGAAGAGCCCATCTTACACATGCTGACATTTCTGTGTAAAAGCTGTAAAAGAACGAACATCCCTCCTGGTCCCAGCAGAGCAGCCAGGACTAAGCCAGGATGTTGTGCGGCTCTCAGCTAAATCAAGTCAAAGTTCCCCTATCATCATTTTTTTAAAGAAGGTTCCACAGGGTAAGTAGGGTACTTCATGTAACAAAGCTTCTTGCTTACCCCTCTCACCACACTGAAAGGGAATGGCAAGTGGGGCAGAGGACAAACAAAACCCACAAAGGAACGCCTGTCACAATTATGGCAGAAACCTGGGACGAGGGCATGTCACATGCCCCCCATCAAAGCCCAGCATGGCAGAGGCTGGCGGGGAACTCAAGAGCCATGTTGTCAGTCAGACAACAGCTAGGCCATAGGCAGCATCTAATTTACTGAATCGGGAAGAGCAAAGGCCACCCAGGACTCTCACAAGCCCTGGAGAACAGAGAGCGCTCAGAGAAGCCGCCATACCCAGCCTCCCAGAGAACAAAATTCAAGCAAAAGACAGTGCTGATTGATAATAAGACTTCATGTATGAAGATATGTAACCTGACTTTATTTCAGTTCTGTGATAAATACTAAAAGCTGAAGTACATCTCTTTCACAGATACAATGTAATTGGGAAAAATAAACCACAGCTTAATCTTACTACTAAAAAAGATTAAAGAAAAAAAAGAACTGAACAGGAGCGAATCCTGAAATAACACACAACTATTGGTACTATGAAGTCAATTCCCAGAAAACAGGGAGACCTGTAGTTAGTAGGTTTAGAGCCCAAGGAAGCATGTCTGAAAGTAATGTAATTTGGCTAAAATGAGCCATTGGTACCAGAACTATGTACCATTCATATACCAGTGGCCTTTTTACCTTAAGCTTTTTATTTCAAAAAATCTCAAATCTACAGAAAAACTAAAAGAATAATATGATGAACATCTTAAATCCTTTGTGTAGATTCATCAATTGACATTTTGCCACTTTATCATGGTGTTTGCAACTCACCTTTAAATATTGCAACAAAAAGTATATTCAGGGTGTGCCAAAAAATGTATACACAGACTTTGAATAATTATAAATACAGTGTTGGGAGAACCAAGATGGCGGCATAGGTAAACACCGGAGATTGCTGCCTCGCACAACCACTTCAAAAATACAACTAAAAGACGGAACGGACATCACCCAGAACCATAGGAAGGCTGCCTGAGGGGAAATTCTTCAACTAGAAGGAAAGAGAACAGCATACCGAGACTCAGAGGAGGCGCAGTGCGGAAAGTACAAAGGTGTGGAGGTGCGCACGGAGGGGGCTGGCAGCTGAGGGCACGGTTGTCTGTTTCAATCGGGAGGGAGTCTCAGGCTCTGAGCTCCAGTTCTGGGCGAGTCTCTAGGGACCCAGACTCAAACAGGAGAAGCAGGACTGTCTGGCATTGGTCGGAACGCGAGGGCAGCTTTCTCGCTGAGGTTTGCAGCAGTTGCTGGGGCTCTGTGAGGCAGAGCCCCTAGGGACGGAACTGAGAGCAGCCATAACTGCTCCCTCCACCCGCCCTGTAGATCCCCTGGGACCCGCCCCGCCCAAGCCCTTTGTAGCGCCATTTGCCGGATAGCCTCAGGCAAACGCTAGATTAGCGCCGCCCTAGAGATCCAGCACAGAAGCTCTCCCACTGCAGTCACAGCTGACTCTCATAGCCAGTTAGCCTGGAGGTCAAATCACCCCCGACAACAATCAAGGCTTAACTACAACAAGACTGCGCACAAAGACCACTAG